GAGAGAGAGAGAGAGTAAAACATGAAATTGCAAACAGTATACACTGCCCAAAATGTATACACTGGGAAAAGAAAAACTCATATAAATATTTTAATAGTAGATTTGTTGAGACATCACAAGATTAATACACGTTATCTTTGGCCTTTACAGTTTACAAGAGGTGCTCAAAGTGGTGGCCATCAGCTTCCAGACGTTTATTAGTACAGCAAGCTGCTGAAGTGTGGATACAGTTTTTGGCAGACTGTGTATATATAAATATTGGATTTAGAGGAACAATGCTATTACTTTCTATGAAATCTCACAGCAGCATATGCTGTAACTACGTACATTCCACCATATAAAAGGAGGTGGAAGTTGCCTAGAGTTAAATAGTTCACCATGGAAGGCTGCCCTGAGGAGGGAGAATTCAAACAACTTGTAGACTATGGAACCATAAGCCACGGGACATTAGGAAGCAGAAGTCTCCAGGCAGGAGAGGACCCACTGCAAATGTCTCAGCATAGGTGCAGCATCGCCTGACTTCTCAGAGATTGAGTAGCAGGAGACGTGTTCAGAGTAGTTCTTACCGGGTCTGCCAGGTTTATGAGGAGAGAGAAGGCCCTGAGGGCCTGAGCAGACAGGGACGGTCTGACGGGAGGGGACGGGACGCCTGGCCTCTGTGTTGAGCTTGGGAGGGAAACAGGAAGCAGGGAGCCGAGCCAGGGGCTGTGCGGTAGCGCACTCTGGGGGCTCCAGCGGTGGGGTTGGTCAGAGTGATTGTGCTTCAGACACATGTTGAATATCGTGCCAAAAGGATTCACGAGAGCTTGGATGATGTGAGGAGTAACGGATGCACCAGACGCCTTGGTGTGGGAAACTGCAAGGGCAGCGGTGCCGTTAACTGCTGTTGGAAAGAGGGAGGAGCCGATCTGGGGGAAGATGGCAACTTCGGTTTTGGACGTGTTGAGTTTGAGGTGCCCACTGAAAACTTCTGTGCAGATGACGAGTAGAGCGTGGAAACTCAAATACGGAGGGCAGGGGAGACTCTGGACTTAGCGAATGTATTTTTGGTGTGTGGTCACTATTATAAATACACCGACTTAATTAAATGGACTGAATGAAACCACTGAGGAGGGAACAGAACAGAAGACGAGCCTTGGAGCTCTTTAACGGAAGATGCTAGCGTGACCAGCAAGGGGGACTGAAGGAGCATCGAGCAGGGCAGGAGTAATCCAAATGATACCGCAAGAGGCACTTCCACGAAGAAACACATCCGCTGTGTTCTTTGCTTCTGAGAGCTCAAGGCAAATGCCAAATGAGAATCCCACACTGAGTTTAGTAATGGGAAGAATCATGGCAGAAGCTGATTTCTTGTAGTGGTGGGAGGCAAGGGCTGTGTGGATTGGATTTAGGAAAAACAGGAGCAGAATATTCGGGCAGTGCACAAAGATGGCCAAGTCCTGCCCTGGAAGGAGCGAGGCAGAGCAGCACCTGCAGGTGAAAAGGACCCAAGAGTGGGCTTCTGAGGCAGAGTGTGGAGTCAGCAGCTTTTCTTCCAGATGGGAAGGGTGATGGGAGAGGGAGTGTGTGAGGTGAGAGAGCCAGGGAGCCCCTTCCAGAGCAGTGGCTGTGGGAGGAGAAGCTGGGCCCCTGCTGAGTGCGCCCAGGCCGCCTGCACAGATTCAGGGGCTGTGGCAGAGGAGGATTTCACAGGAAAGTCCTTGGTCCCCATGAGCCTGGAAGCAAGGTCAGGCTGCCAGTGAGGCTGAGGGAGGAGGAGATGGGGTGCTGGAGCCCGGAGAGAAGGGGGTCAGGAGCAGTTTTCTGCCCTGATCGTTTCCTAACTCTGCAGGACTTAAAGGGGGTTCCTTCAGTGGAAGGAATAATCTGGTGGAAGTTTAAGTACCTAGTAAAATAAGGGTTTCAAGTGCCAGAGCTTAACTTTCTCTTTTTAATGATGAGAAGAATGTAGGAATGTGCATGCCTGTGTGTGTTTCCTAGGAAGAAGCCCTGGCTGTGTGCTGTCCGGCAGAGTGGGATGGCATGAGGCTCACAGTCACCCTGGTGCATGGAGCCGTGGCATCTTGTGCCTTCGTGGGCACCACCTTGTCGCGACTCTTGCACAGGAACTTGCAGTTACCTGCTTTCACTCTGCCGTAAACTGTTAAAAGCACCTGTTAGCTGGTGCTCCATCCCGCTAATTTCATTTGATATTGCTGACTAATCTTTGCTTTCCCATGCATTTAATTCCATGACTCTGACAGTATGGGAAGCAAATCCCTTAAAGTTACCAAGTCACTTATACTCTGTGGTTTTTCAGTAACTATTTCATAACTTTCTATGAGGTGACAACTATGGTGTATTGGAGAAGGCTGATCTGCGGTTTTGTGATGGAAATTAAAAAAAAAAAAGAAAAGGGATAGCAATTGATAGAGAAAGCAATCTGGAATATTTGGCCTGAATAACTGTGTCGCTTAATACGAAAGATCTATCAGACAATCACAGCGAAAATCAGCCTTCACAGATAGTGTTAGGTTTTCAGTTTTGTATTCTGTTTTCCATTTGAATGTAAGTGTGGAAAAAAATGTCTAGGGAGCAAGAGCTGCGACCTTACAGGACGCTCGCCCTCTGGCACAAGCCTCACTCAGCCTTTCATCATGAGGGTGACTTAAATGATATTTCATTTATTTACACCAGCCCCTCTGCATTGTAAAGTAAGTTGGAAGGTACGGTATTCTTTGTGTTCTTACGTTTATTGATGATGAGCATAGAGCCATGCTGGTGAGAGTTGGGGGCCGGGGTAAGGACCGTTTCAGTGGTTTCCTGCTGTACCTCATGAGCCTGCTCAACTCTCACTGCTGTGGTGTGCAGAGCCTCGGGCAGGCCGGTCCCACTCACGCCTGGGCCAGGAAGCAGGAGACCAAACCTGTGGTTCCAGCTTTTTAACGCAGTCGCTCTCTGGCCTTGCTTAAATTACTTAATACTTTTGAACTTTAGGATTTGCACGTGACCCGCAGGGTAACACCAGCGTCCCGCCTGCTTCTCGGCGTGGTGGGAAGTGAAGCGTTTTAAAGGATACGGAATCCTCTTGCGCTCGGGCGGTCACCTCCTGGCCTCCCTCGCTGGTATTTAGCTTGCTGTCCCCCTCCCCTCTCGCACCGGCAGATATTCCTGCATGGTAACAACCTGAACAGTCTGCACCAGCTCATCCACCCCGAGATCCTGCCTTCTGAGTTTGGGGGGATGCTGCCCCCCTATGACATGGGCACGTGGGCGCGGACGCTGCTGGACCACGAGTACGACGAGGACAGCGAGCACAGCGCGGACCCGTACGGCACGCCGGCGAAGGAGGTGGAGAAGGGGCTATCCCCCAAGTCCATGAAGAGGTACGCGGGAGGGAGGCGAGAGGGCTGGCGGAGGCGCGGAGTCCAGCCCCGAGCTTGCTACTAGTCCGGTGTTCGTTTTTCTCTGGTGGGATTTGATGCATCCACGATTGGGTGTCTAAGAGTGGAAGTAAAAGATCAAGTCACTTGTTTGGAGTGAGAACATTGACCGTTTGCTGCCTCAGCAGTTTTCCACTAGAAAACATCTGGTTGTCTTCGCTGTGGTCGTCATGCTGAGCAGGAGGTCCCCAGGACCGACCTGCCCATCTGAGTGGGACTTTGCGCCCAGCCTTGCCCAGCCTCCTGTCTCAGTTCGTGTTCTTCAGAGTCCGTTGACAGTGGACTCTGTTGACTTCGCTGACGTGAAGTATTTTGTCCGTTACATCGAGCCCCAAAATATGTGTAGTTATTATCTGCCGGTTATTTTTTAAAGAGATAAAGTCATTCAAAACAACCTCAACTTCATCTTGTTCCAAATTCACACTCAGTTTAGCAGGGCCTGTGGAAGCCACCAGATCCAGTGGTTTTCCCCTGAAGCAGCGGGACTTCTGCTGGAGGGCCTGGTCCAGTTGGTGATGGGGGTGGGTGGTGGTGGGGGGTGTTCTTACTGCCGCGATTAATGATAGCAACTTCCTTCCATCTGAGAAGTTCATCAGAATTCTCAGTATGATTTCTTGGGAAGAAAGGGACTACACAGGTGTACCACACGCACACACACACATGCATGCACGCACACCAAATCAAACTACATCCAGAGCTTGTACTGTGTTATATTTTCAGTGTCTCTGCCAAGTCTTTGTCTAAAGGTCTATTCATTGCAGGTGCAAGGCA